TATATATATATATATATATATATATATATATATATATATATATATATATATATATATATATATATATATATATATATAATATATAATATAAGGTTATGTAGAAGGTAATTTCAGGTAAATCTCTAATAAGAATCAATTTGTAAGTTGAAAGTACTAACTAACCTACTATTGCATGCATATTAAATTATACAGATAATATAAATAAATAAAAAATTTACATCGTTAATGCATATATATTAAATCATAACATTGCTATAACATATATATTTATAGATGTCGCGACTTGGGCAAGGAACATCGATAATTTACAAGACGCCATATATTATTTAAATGCATCCAAAAGATTTTAGAAATCTTTGCTTTTGTTGCCAGCTAAAATCTCTGTGACAAGCAGATAATTAAACATTTTTTTTTATTTTTTAAAATAATGTCTCTTCACATTCATCCTCTTTTTGCATGCTATAAAAACCCACCCATTACAATTCCATTTCCATCAAACAATACCTTCCCTTCTCAACTATAGTAATTAAGAGAAATATTAAACTTTTTGAGAAAATGGCTTCAAAAAGAACTACTACTCTTGCCCTTTTTCTTCTTGTCAACCTTCTATTTTTCTCTCTTGTTAGTGCATGTGGCACTTGTCCTAGTCCAAAACCAAAATCAAAACCAAAGCCAAAGCCAAACCCTAACCCTAGCCCTAATTATAAAGCCAAGTGTCCTAAAAACACCCTAAAATTAGGTGTTTGTGCTAATGTTCTTGAAAATTTACTTGGTCTTAAAATTGGTAATATTCCAAAGAAACCTTGTTGTACTCTTATTAAAGGACTTGCTGATGTTGAAGCTGCACTTTGCCTTTGTACTGCAACTAAAGCAAATATTCTTGGGATTAATCTTAATGTCCCTCTTTCACTAAGTCTTTTACTTAATGTCTGTGGGAAAAAGGTTCCATCTGGCTTTATTTGCCCTTGAAAAATTCAATATTTGCTTTCACTTTTTCTTATCTTTTGAGGGATATATTATAGTTTGTGTTAACTTTTTGTTTCCCTTGTTTATGCTATGGTTGTGTAATTTGATGAATGTAGTTTGAAATTATGAGTTTGTTATTGTATTTTGTACACGAAGTGGTGTACGTTACATTTGAATTTGAGCTTGTATCTAGTTTCATGTAATTGGAAGTCTATATTTGCATTTGGCTTTTATTCTTTTTCTCCCATATGAAGAGTTAAGAGCTAAGAGCTATATGTGCTTTTTTTGTTGGGATTATATAAAAGGAAGGCGCCACCTAAAGGCGTAAAGTTTTAGAAAGAAAAAAAAGAGCTAAGAGCGAGATTGTTTCATAGTGACTGAAATTGAGCTATCGATCGGCAATGCGATCCCATAGAGGAGCGAGAGGGGGATGAGGCTTTTGGCCTCGAGGTTGCATGGATTCATGTCTTGATCTTTTCGATCGGCAGGTGAGGAATCGCGGTCGCGTGGCTAAGCTTGCGATCGCATAGAAGGATTGGCCGGAGTGAGCTTATCAAGAACACCAAATTAAGTACTCTGAGATGATGACCATATGGGTCTAGCTAGTATAGAATTTACATATATCCGTGACATTTCAGGTGTGATTGAAGTTCTATTTTAAGAAAAAATAAAAAAAATGTTACCAATTTACAATAATGATGCTTCAATTACAAGCAAGTTGAGGTCGGTTATATGAATATTAACCTTTCATGTTATTATATGGAGTATGTTTTATTAGGATTCATCATAAATTGACTAGGTTTATACAATTGACAGTCGTTCTATAGTAACTCTACTACCTTATCTAAACTTGAGATCGACAACGTGAACATGCTCACACAGACGGAATTGAAAAGACGTTGGTATTTTTTTTTACAGCATGAAACAATAGCCATATATAATATTGTTGTAATATTGAAAATTGATATGTACTATTTACCCGCAAAATCGGATAACAATTGAATTTATATGCGATTTTAAGGATATGTGATCTAACTTGATACAAATTGAGAAATCAGATTAATATTGAAATTAATGATAAAAAAGTAAATGCAAACCACACAAGTTAAACAATCTTGGCCTTGAAGGTTGGTCACCCTCGAGTCAAAAGTGCCTTAATCGGTATCGGAACAGAATGATAAGATAATAAGAACTAGTAATAACAGTATATTGCTTTAGGATGCGTGTTACCATGTGCATTACAAATAATCAGATCCCCATTATATAGTAGGGGAGTCTTACCTTAGATACAATTCTATAAAAGGTAAGAAATCTCAAGATTTGCTAATTAATCGGTCTCTCATTGATATGTGCTGAGATTTTCGCCGTGATATCCGACCGGTTGCGGATATTTCGGCATTTCTTATTTGGTCCGATAATGTTTCCTCGAGCTTATTCGGAGTCGGGGTCGGTTCCGGTCACGTGCTCGATGATCTTGAAGACATATGATCTAACCTCGTACCTTGGTTCGATGGAAACCTAGGTCGATCTTTAATCCATCATGTTTCAGTCTCGAGCTGTCATGCAATAGATGAGCCCGATTTTGACCGTATACAGATAGTCCCCTCATTTCTCGGAGAATAAACAACGAGAAACAATATGAGCCCTCGATCCTCGTCTCGATACTTCGCTCCAGAAACGACAAAACTGATGAAACGTCTCGTCAGTCACGTCTTAATGGCATTAAATGTTCGTCAGTTACTGGTGGGAAATTCCCAGATATGAACAGTCGCCGAGAAACTATAAATACCCTCTCATTATATCATTTGAACTTTACTTTCAAAACTTCTGCTCTCATACCTTAGAAATTTCTATATTCCCAAACATTAATTTTCTGATTACTCTAAAATCACTTTATAAGAACTTATGTTCTTTATCCCAAATTATCAAGCATATCCTTTTAATTTTCTCTTTTCCCTTATCTTTCCAAAAAAATGGCGAAGACCTCAAAGTACGTTCCCCAAAAAAAAAACTCACTCTGCCTTACGACCGGTTGAAGAGGAAAATGTTCCGTCTGCTGCTACTGAGGAAAAGACACCAAAGCCCTCCTTGAAGATGTTCGTTCCTGCGGGGTGCCTGACCAGTGTTGATTTCAAGGTCAAGAAAACCTCTTCCGTACCGGGTCGGTGCGAATCAGTCTCGATGTATATATGCTCGATCACCGACAGTCTCCTCTCCAAGGTCAAGGAAGATTGCAATTGGGTTACTAAGCACGTGGTGGTGCCTACGCCCGAGGAATCGATTACTACCCACGTGGAGGGTTTTTTAAGTGTTTACACTTATCCCTTCATGTTGGGCCCTTTGGACACGGTCATCATCGCCTTATGTAAGAGATATGAGGTGACCCTCGGTCAAATTCATCCCACTTTCTGGAGAATAGTAAGGCCTCATTTGTTTTTTTTAAGATTAAGACGTCTGAATCTGAATATACATCTGAATATTAAGATATATATTAAGATTAAGACATCTGAATCTGAATAAACATCTGAATATATTAAGATGTGTATGAAGATCTGAATAGAAATAATTAAGATTGTTTAATTTTTTACATCTGAATGTATAAAATTAATCTTTATTTGAAAATTAATAAACATAAAATTCAAATGAAATACTAACTAATCTGATATTCTATCAATAAAATATAGTTTTTTAAAATATGTTAGTTGTTGGTGGTGATGGCTAACGGGTGAATGCCGACTAGAAGCGGTGGTTGGTGGTAGTTTTGGTTGATGATGGTGGTTTATGCTAGTAGCTAATAGTGATTGGTAGCGGTGGAGATTATGATTGAGGATGGTAGTGGTGGGTGGTTATAGTTAATAATGGCGGGTGGTGGCAGTAGTTGTGACTGAGGAAGGTGGTGGGTGGGTGGTGGTAGGTTATAATGATGGGCAGTGCCTGCTATGGTTGTTGATGGTGATGGGGTGGTCGGTTGTGGTAGGTGAGGTGGATGACTGTTGATTGTGGGTGAGAATGATGGTGATCGGAGTGGTGGGGATAGTAGGTGGTGATGGTCGATAATGGTGGCGGCTATGTTTGAGGATGATGGTGCCGTGGTAGTGGTGGAGGTGGAGGTGGTGGTGGGGTGGGGTGGGAGTGGTGGTTGAGTATGGTGGTGGCGGCAGTTAATAATGAATATGTGATAGCATCTTAATGAAATTAAGTCTCTGTTATAGATCTTAATCATACAGACTATTTAGACCCATTAAATGGTTGTGAAGTAAAAAAAACAAACACACTTAATGATTAAGATCTGGATAATTAAGATTCAGGCTTTAAAAACAAACGCACTTAATGTCTGAGATCTAAATGATTAAGATTCAGACCTCTATTAAGTGCAAACAAATGAGGCCTAATTCTCCTCCACTTCTTCATAAGCAAAATCGAGAAGTTTCCATTCACCATCGATCATCTCATGCGTCTGTACAGTCCCCGACTCTATCGAGGGCAATTAATAAAACTTGCCCGTCGGGCCACTAAGGCCCCATTCTCGAGCATAGACGAGGATCGGGACCGAGGCTGGTTGGGCCGATTAGTTCAAGTGAAAACCTCGGATTTAATCCCGGACGAGGATATGCCATTTCACGATATGGAACATGAAACGTAAGTACAACATTGCCTTTAAGATTTCGTTTATTGCTTTTCCTTTTCCTCCCTTCTTATCGATGTTTCGTGGTACAGCTGTTGCTCAGATGCCGGATGCAGTTCCTCGACTCAAGGAGTGGGTCGAGGGTATCGTATCACAGAATCCCTATTCCGAGCGCACGTGGCGTGAACTTTCGAAGGGCCGGTTGGAGGCCCGTTCCCACGGTGAGATTCCCCTGCTGAATGAATGGCACATAGTTTTCTTGTCGTGCTCCTTCTCACTTTTCCTTCCTTTGCAAGACTTCCCAAAGATGTTGAAATGAGGCCCCCGTTCGGAGATGAGACATCTTCCCCGAACCATCCACTCCGAGGGAGGATAAAGAGAAGAAAAGAAAAGGGGCTCCAAGTTCCCCGAACTTAGAGAAGAAGAAACCGAAAAGGAGGCTGGTGCGCAAATCCAAGGAAGATGTCAGCGCCCGGGAGGTCCCATCGGACTCACTGAAATGACTGAGGGATGAGTCCTAAGACGAAAAAGAAGAAGCTTCCGCACTGATGACCCGCGTGAGAAGCGGTATCGAACTGCCTCAAACCAGGGTGGGCGATGAAGAGGCAGTGGCCGAAGCCTCAGAACCAGGGAGGGACGAGGCCATTTTGCCCCGAGCCAGGAAGGTCGACAAGGAGACCATGGCCGGTACTCCTCGAGCGGAGGAAAGTGCCCCGAAAGATGCACTTGGGGTGATAGATCTCTCCGGGCCGCCTTTATTTACCGACTCCATGATCAACGAGGCTGACATGCTGGAAGGACGCTCAAATGAGGGGCCTCAAGGGGCGACATATTCTTTCAATAACTTCTTCAATGGCTTAGAGTCTACCACCTCGGAGGATATCACCGAGTTAGGTGACTTACCGGTACCAAAGAAGGTACTGTCTTCAGGAACCAGTGGGTCTTCTTCAAGTTCGAGATAAGTGAACCGGTTCCCGGCCCCGAATGAAGATCCTGACCGGAAGTGGTTAATCATAATGTTATCCCGGATGATGCCCGGTTCTCTCCGCCCTCGTGGGGATTGCCAGCTATCTTCGGTGCTTGGTGCCTGAAGAGGACCAGGCCAAGATGGACGAGGTGGAAGCGCCCTGCCTGTTCAATGAAGCTCAACAGTCGTTAAATCGAGTAACTTTGAATGCCTATTATTATGTACATAGATTTAAGTCGCAAACAATCATAGCATTTCCCATTGTGTTTGCAGGCCTCGGTGCTTCATCACAAAACTTTTCTCCGATATCGGGAGGTGTTAAACGAGCACGAGTCCGAGACTCGAGAGCTCCCTGAGAAGAGCGACGATTACAAGCTTCTCAGTGAGAAACTCCAGGCCAAGCTAGAAGCG